GGAGGAGGGGTGGGAAGGGAGGGAGGATGCTGGGAGGAAAGAAGCCAAGCAGACCCTCACTTCAGCTGGGAGAGACCAGGAGCCCCAGAAAACCCCACCAAGACTAAGCTGCGTCCCCAGGAGCCCTGGCCAGCGCTGCGGAGGTTTGGTGCTCGGGTACCTGTTGATTGTAAAAACCCAGAGGGGCCCCACCATGGGACAGGAGGAAGAAATGGCATTCCAACACAAAGTCCAGTGCCCTGCGACTCTTTGTTAAGCAAAACGCCGGAGGGATGAGCCCTAATACTCCCCCAGGGGGTCACTAAACAGTTAAGGGGATCTTTTTCCAGGCAGACTAGACACTCTCAGACACGTGTTTTTAAGGCAAAAGAGCGTGTGATGTGAAGTGTTGGCTCAAAACTTCCCCTCCGGAGGACCCAGGACTTCTGTGCTATTTAGGGAAGCTCATCCTGTAAGACGCAGACTGGGAAGGTCAGGAATGCACCTTGCAAGGGGGAGCAGTAAAGTCAGGCTGGCCTGAACTTCGCTAGAGTCAAAACCCTGTTTCCATATGAACAGGGGCTCCAGCTGGCTCCAGGTACGCTCCTCGCGGAGGCTCCCAGCTCAGCCCGTCAGTGGGCCTGCCAGGAATTACTCATTCTCCCTAATGGGTTATTAAAAAGGAATAAATAACGGGAAGAATTTTACGTGCTTTGTATTCCTGGAGTGCTCTTTAACAGCCCAAAGGAAACTTTTAGGGTCCACGATAAGATGTGTGCCGAGATGGAAAAGCAGAGCTACGTGGGGACTTCCCACCCCGCTCCCCAGCACCAAACCCCACGTCTGGAGGGCAGAAAGCATCCCCTCTGAAACACCACGTGCCAGACTCAGTACAGTGCAGGCAAGCATCTCGCAGCCGGGGCTGCTGCCCGTTACCTGTTCTTGAACTCCCAGTTTGCCTTTCTGGATAGAAAAGGGGTTATGAGAGAACAGGGAGTTAAAATCCTTTTGGGAAATGAGGGTATGTCAAGATGGACCAGACTGTACAACGGCTAAACTAGCCTGTACCGAAGGGGACTGACACACTGGGATACGATGGGAAAGGGCTTTTGTGCAGAAGGAGAAGCCAGACTTCTCAGAAAGGACAGAAAGGGAAGGGAGTGGTAAAGAGAAAGATGAGGTTGGCAGAAGAGTAAGGTTTGGAGTGTGCTGCACTTCGGAGATCCACGGCTTCCTCAGACCTGAATGGGACCATTTCACATCCTGACCCGCGCTGTAACGTGGCATCTCTCCGGAGATCCCAGCATCCCGGCCAGCCTTTCTGGGACATGCCACGGCGTGGCTGCCACCGTCCTATCGAGCACGGGGGTCCCCCCACACGTGTCCACAAACAGGCTTGATTCCAGGTCCCTTTGCTCCCGGGCACCCTCCTCCGCCTGCGTGATGGAGGGAGCGCTTGGCAGGCGTGCCCAGCAATCAGCATCACCGTCCGCATCCCTAGGGAGGTCCCCGGGATGTGACCACACTGTGGAGGGGCTGTGACAGCCCCGCGGGGAGCCTTCCCCAGGGCAGGCATCCAGAAAGGGGTCGGTGAGAGCCAGGGCTGGAGCCACATCAGCCGCCCCGAAGCACCCACCTTAATTTACCTGGCTCCCCCAGAGAAGGAAGGGACGTAAAATCAAGGCTGACTCAACAATGAGGATGACAAAAAAGAAAGGAAAAAAAAGAAACAAACCCCAAAACACCCAAACAACCCCCAAAAGAACGACAGCTACTACAATGAGAACAGCACCACGGCGTGTGACCAGGCACCACGAGAGAGACAACCACAGCGGGCGGTGGGATGTGCTCTGTACATACCCCCGACGAGTCGACAGGCAGCTGAATACAGCTTAACTGCCCACTCGCGTCTTCTCGCTTGGAGATCTCCTGAAGGAGAAACGGGGGGAGGGAGGGGGGAGGAAGGGGAAGGGGGGGTTCAATTTTCACAGTTTCAACAGCAGGACTGAGAGGGGAATCAAAAAACACATGAGAAAAGGCAGCGAAGGAGAGGGGAAGGGGGAGAAGGGCAGCGTGCGGCCACGATGGAGAGCCGGGCTGGGGCACCCACTCCGCTGGGTGCAGGGAAGGGGTGGAAGATCTCAGATGGAGCGAAGCCCTTTGAAGGGACCAGCCTTACCTTTAAATTAAGTGTTTCGAACAGAGCTTGCTTCAGCTCCTAAGTGATAATTGTGCTAATGAAACACCAGCTAATTATTGAAAACATAATTATTAATTTTTTTTTTTTTGCAGCTGCACAATAGGATCTTTATTTATTATGCCTTCATTAAGCAGCAATGGAGGCTTTTAATGAATGTTTGATTAACACAATATCAGTCCTCTTACAGCCAGGCGAAATACCTAATTTAAGGAAGGCCACCAGAACCTGCCATGAGTTCAGATCCCTCCTCACCCCCGTTAGTGGAGACACCCGTTTAAATCAGCGGGGTGCCCAAACGCGGCAGGGGTCTGCGGGCGGTGGGGCTTTGCCACACGAGCGGCCCCAGCATCTCTTCACAGCAGCAGAAGTCAGTCTTCCCCTACCCACTTGGAAAGTACACGCCATTTTTCACCTCGTTGTGTTTCCCCTTCCTCAGGGGTGGCTCTTCCAACACTCCTCGGCACGTTTTGGCAGCGTGGCCATGCCTGGTCCCGTCCCGTGGGGCTGTGGGAGGTTACATGCTGTGGCAGGAGGGCACGGGTTGTCCCACCAGCTTAATTTCTTGCCTACAGGGCAATGGATCTTTCCTCCGGTTGCTACATGGGATGCAAAACTCACCCCCCTCTAGGCTGGGATGAAGGGTTTAAGAAAGGCCTATCAGCCTTTGTGTCTTGCTAGGCATGTAATGGACACAATTTAAAGTCTTTGGTTGTAACAGAGAGAGACGTGGAAAAGCCATTGAAAGAAAACACAGAAACACTTCTCCTTCACAAGGAAAATCCCACTGAAACCGACAGGAATGCAAAAGGTAAGGGATGCAAGAAAAACACCATCCAAAATTCCTACTGGCGGGACAAGGGACTGGTCCCTCTGGTTGAAGCCCAGAAGTCGTCAAAGTCCGTATTTCTCCAAGGATGCTACATCCAGAGAGCAGGTATGTTCTCCTGCAGAGGAAAGGATGGAGGTGCTGGAGGAGGGTCCTGGGAAGGAAGGGGGGCACAAAGGAGGGGAAGGGACGAACCCACAAGTGAGGACGGCCGGGGAGAAGGGGGCACAAAGCCGGGAGGATTACCAATGGAAGAATACTCTTTGGAGATAATATTATTAGGAAGTCCCTCGGGAGAGGAGCTTTATGCCTGACAAAGGGGAGTCGTTGCTTGCTTCAGAGAGAAGTCCCCAGGGCAGGGACCCAAGAGGTCAGGCAGCAATTTAAAATTAGCAGCTCGATCAAACGGAGTCCCCTGCTCACCTTCCCCGCACCAACGCCAGGCTCGAGTTAAACCGGAGAACGCGCGGTCAAAAATAACCACGTTGCATAGAGTCCTGCGTGCGCCTCTTGCAAGAGAGAAGCAGGTTACCAAATAAAAAGAAAGCCGGGGGGGGAAGAAACTCAACCCTGAAAAATATATTGCTCCATATTTGAAGTTTGGAACAGGTCCTTTTTGTTTCTCAACTGCTTATATACATCTGCTGCCTAGCAACTGGGGCTGCAAAGCCGTGCACTAAAATTAACGAGGTGCTCGCAGATTGAGGAAAGGCACTTGAGGACCAGGGAGATAAAGGCAGCAGCCCCGGGATTGTGTTTCAGCCCAGAAATCTGAAGGAGAATGGAAAAAAAAAACAAAAACCCACAACAAACCACCCCAAAAAAACAACCAACTCAGAAGAAGGGTCAAGTGCAATCACAGGAGGGGGACACGGGTTTGTTTACAGCAAGACATGATCTCTCTATTAATTCTGCTTCGGAGAGGATCCTTTGTATGCTGGCTAGCAAAAGTCAGAATGAGATCTGTTTGCAAAGCTACACACCAGCAAAGCTGAATAAACATAAACCAGCAAGGCCAGACCTGGCTCCTGACCTCCAGCAGACATTTGCTCTCTGTCTGCTGGGGGAAACTTGGGTTGAGCCGAGGGATCTCTTGATCCCGTTGCAATTTACTGGAGGAGCGTGGAGAACTCAGAGTAACAAGGACGTGGAAGGAATATTGTTATTAAAATGCCATTATCAAAGCCCAAGATACAAAGTAGCACTGTAATCAGAGTCACAAATTATAGAAATCTGGTGCGAGTTCATCGAAATTGCCGTGGTTGGGCCGAATTGGCCAGAGAGGGTTTGATCTTTGGAGGCTGCGCTGGACCCTGGTCCCTGCACTCACCTCTCAATACAGGCGCGAGCATCACTGGCTTCAGGCTGTCTCAGTGCTTTCCTGAATCAGAATTTACTCCCTGATTTACGCTGCACTTAAAGCACATTTGCAGCTTACACAGAAATCCTGGAGCTGGCTCAGACCAGCCCGGTGCTGCCCCAGCAGAGGAGAAATGCAGGGGCAGGCGTTGTAGCAGCCCTGATGCAAAAACCATCCAAAAGCAAATTTGGGGGGTGGCTGCAGGCGGTTCCCCTGACTCCAGGGAAGACGTACCCTCAAGGACATGGTTACTGGAATAAAATCACGGCGCATTAAGCCTGGGCATGAATTTACAGGGAGCTGTGCCATGGTACCAGCTGGCCGCAAAGAGAGCATGGGATAAATTGCTGCCCAGGGAAACAGGCGCACGGCGGCTGGGTGTGGGGGAGCGGGAACACGCCGGCGGGCGAGCACGAGGATGCTCTAGCATGAAAAACCAGGCTGAGCCAAGGACCAGGGGTATCAGCCTCCCTCGAGGACCAGGGGTTGGAAAAGGGGCTGCTGCATTTAAAGGCTGCATCCTTTTCTCTAAGAAGCGGGTGCAGCAGGTGATCTCCCACTTTGTTGACCTTCAGAGAATCAATTTGCTAGACTGAACAAAGGTTCGGTTTCGAAGCCGTCATCACAAGCAGACAAGGAGCTTTTTACCTCTTCTAGCTCGGGCAAGGGAACACTGTGCTATTCGGGAGAACCTGGCAGTGACCATCCCTTCAGCTGAATGGCGGGGGGGATTTACAGACAGAAACAGCTACAACAATAACAATTAAAAAGCACCAACATGGAGAGAGACGATACAAAAAATAAAAAAAATCTCATCTTGCTATCTCCTGGTACGACTCCATTAATTTAACTCTAAACTGTGCTCCAAAAATAGTAATAAAAATGGCTCTGTGCATAGCTATTCATAGGGTGGTAGGATATTATGATACACAAGCAATTAATCTTAAATAATATTTAGTCACCCCAGAATGCTTATAAAAATCAGAGATAGTGTGTAAAAGCACACCCTATACAAACAGACCCCAGTGAGCAGTTTTAGGTTATATTTACCTCTCCAACCCCCTGGGCAGGGTGTAAAGGTCCCCTCCCCTTACTGATGTTCTTGGACAGCCAGACAATTTTTGCAGAGAGCTGGTGGGCATCGCAGGTCCCCCCCTCTGGGGACTAGGTGACATGCTCACTCACTCTGAGCTGGACAGTTGGGAAGGCAGTAGGGTGAACAAAAAGGTTCAGTTCAAACCTAAGTGCCCCCCCTGCCCTTCCACGGCAGCCTCCAGCGATCCGGGATGTCTCGTGGAGGTTCCCAGCCCAAGGAAGCAGCCGGCAGAGACCAGAAATCATGTACTTTAAAATGTGCAGAGCATTGCAGGGCTGGGTGCAGGAAGAGCTCCACGAACACACACCATCAAAAAAGATAATCATGTCACTAATCTCTTACCAGCCTGAGTAAGTTTTCTGGAGGGGCTTTCAGTCTGGGTGACAAACACGGTGATAACTGTTTCAAAGACACTGTCAGAGCAGCGATCCCATCCGCGGTGCCTGACTGACTGCTGAATTCCCACTCCTGCATTAATGCTAACAATGCTTTTCATTTAAGCCCTTCATTTAGAGGGCTTGCTGTATTAAATTGCACTGTGGCTAAGAAAAAGGAAAAAAAAAAGAACGAACACCTAATATTTTCTCCCACTTTTTTCATGCACCACTCTTGTAAATGTATTGCTGTCCATCTCAGAAATCAAATTCCAGGATCTGGAGGTCCTGAAACTTTAAAAGAAAGCAAAGGCACAAGCGTGAGGACATTACCTCTGTCTGGAAACCCTCTACCAGGATGGCCACCAGCAGGTTAAACAGAACGTAATTCCCAAACGTCATGAGAGCGATGAAGTAAAGAGCAGCCCAGGAGGAGGTCGATGCCATGCCATTGTAGAGGACCTTGTTCCAGTCTTCCTGGGTCAAAATCTGCAGAGGAAGGGTATCAGGAAAATGGACATACTGAAGGATTGTGCGCCATTTTGCCCGAGTCTGGCTGGGTATCTGTGCTCTGGATGGGCCAAATGAGCATCCCACTTTTGGGGTATCCACTGTAGCTATAACCACAGGAGGATAAATCCGGCCCAAGCCGCCTTCTGAGCCAGAGAAGAGACAGGACCAAAGCGACCGTGACTCCCATGCTACCAGTAAGGACCCTGCCCAAACTGCCCCAACTCCCAGCCGCACCAAGGGACGCGTTCAGCCGTAAGGGAGTGCAACATCGCATGGGTCGGACCTTTCCTTTGGTCGGCCAGAACAGCTAGAAGTCCTTCACAGATCCAGCAGTTACAGAGCTCAGAGCTGCTAGAACAAAAAGCTGCAAATATCAATCATGGGCTTAAACCAGATTCTGTTCTTTGTCAAGATATCGCCGCAAATGGTCTTGATCTCTTCCTCTCCATCTCCACCCTCTACACTTACTTTCACCCACCCGGCCCATACCCTGCAAATGCAAGCGCCTCCTACCTTGGCAGCCCCTCCTCATTAGCTTTCTGATTTATTCTGGACAACAGTCTGAAAACGCCTGTGTTCCTGCACTTGTGGTTTTGGGTCCTCTCCCGTCCACGGCAAGGAGCTTCACTAAGCTCTGTCAGATGCTTTGACAAACAACCCCAGCCCCTGCAGCCCCCAAAATGCACACGAGTTGTGGCGTTTTCCATTTTGTACCTGGAAAACAGTGACGATGGCCCAGAGCAAGGAGTCAAAGTTCTTCCTGTCGGGCAGCGTGTCGCCGTCTCGCTCCGAAGCAAACTTGCAGCCAAAGAGGTGCATCCCCAGGATGCTGCATGGGAGGGAAAGCAGGGGTTCAACAGGAGACGACATCGGTCTCCTATTAAAAACTAATTATCGCACAGCAGGACTGACTGTGTCTCCTGATTTCACCTAGGCAGTTTTTTGGTTGGTTTTTTTTTTAAAGATGAATCATCCGTTCACTGAAAAACACGCCTCGAGATCATGCAAACCAGTTGTGAATTTGGGTCAAATCTGTCAAACAGTTTCAGGCAAAAAGTATGCCTGCTCCTTCTTTTTCCTCTGCTTTGTTTTTGGTTTTTTTTCAAGTCAAAACATTTTTTTTAGAAAATGTTGGAAGAAAATGTTTTGACTTTCTGCTTTGCAATGACACATTTTTAGCAAAACATGCTTAATTTGAATTAGGAAGACAGAAAGGGTTTCTGTGAAATACCTGAATGAGACATTTTGGGGGACTCAAAACAGCTTTTTCAATTTTGACAGGAAAACAGAATACCTTTCATTTAAGATTGATACTAAAATAATAATTTGTTTTCCCCTGCTCTTGGCCAGTAACCTGAATAATCAAATTATTTACAGCTCTACTGTAAATGGCTGCAAACGGTGGCTTTGGAGTAAAACATCTTGCTGGGAGAAGGGACATTATTCCATGGAAGAGACGGGCTTTTTTCGGCCTTCCCAGTGCCTGGATTGCTGGAACACCAGAGTTGGCTGTTACAAGGAGACAGGCTCTTCTCAAATTCTAGACCAAAATCAAAAAATTCGGGGCTACGCCAACCCTATTTCTAACATTTCCACTGCAGAACCTCCCTTCTCAGAAGAGGCCATGCAAGAGCACAAGCACCACCACGGCTGACTTTATTTTAGGAACATCACCCTTTCCTTGGCAATATTTTTAGCATCAGGCTTTCTGTTAGTAAGTAATGGGACCGCTGTCTTGGGGTGATGTCAAGGAATCATCCAGCTGAAAGATTTTCCTTGTAAGTCATCTTGCAAAGACAGATGTCTCGTTTGGCCAGAGTTGAGAGAATTTAGTCAGGGCAGCAAGCCATCGCCAGCTCTGGCCAGCGATGCTGTTTCTGGGACTGTTCAGCTCAGCCATGCCCTGGTATGGACTCTTACATCTCCTCACCTCGCCACGGGATCCCACCTGAAAAACCCAGAGCAACCTCAGGACTGGGAATCGGAAGTGCTCACCTGAAGATGAAGATGAAGAGCATCAGCAACATGCAGAACGTAGCCACGTTGTCCATGGTCTTCATGAGGACCACGAGCTGGCGCTGGAGGGCTGGCATGAAGCGGACCAGCTTCAAAACTCGCATGAGCCGAAAGGTCCGCAGGACCGAGAGCCCCCCACCTTGCTGGCCCACTATCTCCCACACACTGAGGGATAAAAAAAGGTCATTGCAGGATGAGAAGACAAAGCCTAACGCAAAGGCATGGAGGAGAGGAAGCAAAGGGAGGGTGAAATTCAGAGAGAAGAGGGATGGAAAGTGGGCAGAGATGCACTGCCAATGCCCCCAGTGAGCTGGACTCCATCCAGGCTTGCAAAGAGCAGAGCCCCACTAGAGTGTCAAAAACACGCCTGCAAATCAGTGGCTGCAGCTGCAGGGGCAATTACAGCCTTTGCACATGCCAAAAAACCAGACAGCTGCTTAATCGGGCACTGGTTGTACCATTTGGATCCTAGACTTTCCCAGGACTTAGGGACTGAGGGCTTTCTGCTTGGGCCTCTCTCTAAAATGACCATAAAATAACCCCAAGATATGTATAAGCAATCGTGTCTAAGTGCATTAATTTACAGCAGAGAAGTATAAAGCGTCATAGGAAAGTATTTATGCCCACTCTCCATTACTTTCTGTTTAATTAAACAGCCAAATGAGGAGAAACATGCATAAAGCAAGCTCTAGGTTTGTACCTAATCACCACGATGATCCCATCAAAGATGTTGTATGGATTCTTAATGTAGCCAAAAGGACCATAAACGAGGACTTTCAACAGCATCTCCAGGGCAAAGAGGCTTGTGAAGACTATGTTGCTGATCTCCAGGGCGTTGGTAAGCTCCTCCGGCTGGGGAAAGAGGAGGAGGAAAGGGACACGGTAAGCAGCACAGCTCCATTTGTTAGCCGTATCCAAAACTACACCTGGAAATACAAGCCCCAATGCCACAAGTGCGGGACTACCGATGCTAATGGTGTAGCGAGCAAATGGTAATAGCTCGCTCAAAGCCCGGGAGAGAGAAGAAAAATGCTATCGGAGTATTTAAGGTTTATACACCCGTTGTAAATTGAGCAGGTAAATCCAGACATGGACTTCACGTTAATCGCAGCTTTAGTACCACCTCAGGAGGTTTATGTAGAAGTGGCGTGTACTGAGCCTTAACGCTTTCTCATCCTCCGACCCAATTCTCCTTATGCAGAAGGGAGAGTCGGGCCGTTTTCTCATGTAAATATCCTTTTAGGGCCTGTCTTTTTATTTCGTATCTCATCAAAAGATTTAAGCTATGATTTTCAAATGCAGAGATTTGAGGTGCTATAACTGCAATGGTTCAAAAGAACCTCATTATCAGGAAGCCCCGAATACTGCGACTGAGGAAGGGCCTGATCCTGGCAATTCAGACTCGTAGCTCTATTTTTAGATTACCAAAAAAACCTAACAAACAGACTTCCCATAATCTTAGTCTTAAATTAATACCTTTCATGTTTTTCTAGCATATTTCACAGAGGGTTCCCAACAATGCCTGCAGATACCCAGCGCTGCGCTTTCCCCAGCGGGTGGGCAGGCATTATTGGAAAACATATGGCAGAAGACAAAAACCGGTGGCGTAGTCTGTTTAGGATCAGTCAGTGGCAAAGACAGGAGCAGAATCTGCAGTACCAGATCCCTTCTCCCCATTTAACCCCAACACACAGCCACAACGGCATGTTTCTACTTAAAGGCTTCATTAAAATCAAGAGACAGCGTCCTGCTGGCAGATGTCCACAGGGTCACGTCGGCAACGCTGAGGTGCCCCGTGGGGTACAGTTCACAAAACACCTTACGCGCACTGGGTGCTGGATTCCTCTTAGGGGTAGTTTGGCACTTAACTCACTCAGATACTTTCCTAAATCCCCACGCGTAACCACCCGCAGCTTTAGATGCCTGAACATCATGGTGGGTTACGGCCAGATGTGCAGGTTCACGGCAGCTACACCATGAGCAGAAGCTAACGTGCAACGCGTGCTGTTGACTGCTCCCACCACTTACATGTAACACCTTCATGGCTAGCCAAAAACTTCCTACAACGGGCCAGGAGCTGCCATGCCATGGCACATGCTGCGGCACAAGCTGTAGGGTTTGACGTGAGGTGACCCAACCCCAACCCAACCCCAAGGGAGCCGGGAGAAGGGATGGCTCAGGGGCAGGGTCAACGCTTGATCGACTGTGTTTCAGTCCCAAGAAACTGCAGCAACCAAAGGCTCCACAGATATACCCAGGCAAATAAACAGATAAATCCATGTGGGCATTCAACCCTTTCTTTCTCAGGGTTGAAGTCTCCAGGCACAGCTGGCTGAGCCCTTGCAGCTCAAGTTTCTCCAACCCAGTACGATGGTAGATGGGGGACCCAAATTGGTCTGACGTTATCTCAGCGCAACAGTGTAATCCCTGAGGACTTGCACTGATACTAGTGGGAGCTTGTGATGACACAGCAATGGTCACGGGATAGCAAAGGGGGAAACGGCAGCATTGAAAATAAAAAGTAAAAAAAAAAAAAAAAAGGGGGGGTGTCTAATACTTCCTATACCTCAAACATCCTCGCTGAGGAGCGGATCCCTTGGCTGGAGTTTGCCAAACACACCAGACACGCAGCCCAAATCACCTCCTCACTGATCTAGAGCTGAAATACAAATGCTCCAGCTCTCGATATTAAACACAGCCCTGGTTTAAAATCATACACCTATGGGAACACTCAGACACAAAGTAATAAATAGGCCGAGAACTTATATGTCAAGCTGCACCTCAGGACAATTTCAAATAGCTGAAAGTCTACATTAGTCACAAAAAAAATGCCAACTCATTCATGAGTGCCCCAGCACCGAGGCAGGCTGTGCTGTTATCATTATCGCAGCGATACTGCTGGAAAGAAAATGCATTCTTGGAAGCTTTCCTTCTCATCCATCAGCGCCACTAACCCGGGTCCCGAAGGCTGATTTCCACCCTCTGCAACCGCGCTGCCAAATCTAACCCTCCCCGCAGGCGCAACCCAGTTAAGTCCCTCGATGCATGAGCAGCGCCCAGCATCTCCCACAGCTGCGGCATCCCTTCCCCGCGGGGGCTGACATGGAAAACCCAAGCAGCCCCAGCAGGGATGTCGTGTTAATAGCGTGGATTAATGAAACTTTGCACTTCGCGAGCACCTTCTGGTTGGAGATGTTATTGGGATGTATACATCTGGATGGGAGGCGCTGGCAGGGCACAGCTGGATGACGTGGGGAGCCACGGGGGGAGCAGTGCTGATGTTGCAACTCTCCCAGGACCCCCAGCACCCACCAGAATGGCCATGATCACACCCCCCCCAGCCCACGAAACATCCCTCCCAGCCCACCCGGCTCACGAGAGCCCCAAATACCCCTGGCACCAGCGCGGGAGGACTATGGGTCAGCCTGTGCAGCGAGGTGATGCTCAGCACCCGCAGCAGCACCAGATCCATCCATCCATCGCCCCCTACTTCACACTGAAAAAGCCGCCTGGCCCCCCACTCCTCCTCCACACACTCTTTTCTACTTCCCTCGCAGGAAACGGTTTTTAATATCTGAGACATTGGGCGCCCATAATAAAAATGAAGAGTGGGATCTCCTGAACCAGAGGTGAGAATTAATATCCAAAAATCTAAGATTAATGGCCAAAATGGGTTGAAAGAGGAAGGGAAAACTTCCCTTTCACCCGGCCAGGAGAAGAGAAGGGTCTCCAGGGCAGCCTGGAACTCTGCCAGGGGAGGGCGAGGCGAGCATCTGCTGGAAGCACACCGCAGCCAGACCCGGCTGAAATCAAGGAGTTATTTTGCTTCGGGAAACAACACATCCCTAAACAGTTGAGACGGGGCGATGAGAATTACTCGGAGGATTTCTGCAGCCAGCTGTGGAGCGCCCTCCCCCAAGCCCCTCGGTCCCACTCGGGGGGTCCCTCCAGGGCAGCTCATGGGCCCCCTGCAACAGCTCCGCATCCCTTTCAAGGGACACGTCGCTGCAGCCCATCCGTGGGGGCCTGGACCCCTGCCACAAGCACTGCCAGGAATTATTTATAAAAACAGAGGTGGGCTGAGATCGTGATCCTGCCCAAGGGGATCACAGCCAGGCGGTGGGGATTCAAACACTTCTGAGAATGCCAGCTACGGGATTTCCATGCAGCCATAGATGCGTACAGATAATAAGACTGTTTATAAGATGCTTCTGCTCTAGAGAAATCAGAAACACGTCTGAGACTTCTTTCCTTAGACATCATTACAATACAGCAGGAAAGTGGCTTTTCTCTCCTGTGGGAACTGAAATTGTCATCCCATTCCAAACAGGAATGCAGTTTCAGAATTGGCGAATTGAAACACTTTGTGCCCAAAATTTTGAAAGCTCTCCCCTCCATTTCAGTCCCTATTCCCTTATCCATTTGCTCTGTACTGTAAATCAACTGAAATTAAAAAACATAAATAAAAGTCAGCTTGAAGAAGAACATGGAACTTTTTGTTCCCCAACTGTTCAAATGGACGTTTCAAATATCTCAGACAATGTATTTCAATAAATTTTTTTCTTTGAAGCCAGTTCACTGAAACCGCTCCCCTCCCACGAACAGCTTCAAGTTTGATAAGCTGCCATTTTCTGACACTAACCATCTAATCAAAACTATATTGACTAGCTCTAGACATAATGCACCTGGGAAAGTCACTGACTCCTGGCACACAACCAGCTCCACGAGTCCTCGCCAGGCATGGATGAAAAGAGCCGGTAAAATCAAGCAGCTTTCCCCTCTGAGGGCCACAACATGGCAGCTGAGGAAGGTGGCATCAGTCCTTTGACTAAAGGATACATCTGGAAAACAAACCCCTCCAGGAACCCCCCTGGAAAGGGCATTTTGCAGGGAAGTAGAGCCTGAGGTGCAGACCCTGGTGTTTCTTTGCAGTACAAAGCCTCCTGTCTACCGCCCCGATTACAGCACGTCTGCCACAGCCTCAGCTTCTCCATTAAGAGAAGAGTGTGCTAATTCTCTCATCATCATCAGCAGTGACTAATTAAAAGGAAAGCATCCTATGATTAAATGAGCAACACCCAGAAAGACCGAGATACAAGCACGATTCAGCTGTAGCACAAAACACCAGGCTCTTCCATTCGGTAAATACTGAATTTTGTTTCCAGGACACCTCGCCTTGCTGGACACACAGATGTGGTGTCCTGGATAAATCATCCCCTGTTAGCTCTCTGTTTGTGTAGTGTCGATTTGTTGATGTACCAAACAGCACATTGACAAGCTCTGGCAGCACATAAAATAGGAGCAGACAGCGCAGCATCTCTCATAAACACCACGCAGCGAACGAAGGCGGCAGGGAGGAGGCGGCGAGCCACGGGCACCGGCCCAGACGTAACCCTGCCTGGCAGGGTGCACACCGTGGCGGCAAGGAGGGGATGCTCTCTGCACCCTGCCTGGAGGTTTCAGGCAGGGCTGCCTGGCACCAAGCAGGGCACTGCCGTGGGGGACAGGAGGGGGCAAGGGAAGATGCCCCCACGTACTAAATGTTGCCTCGAGGGGTATCTCAGAGCTGGACCAGCACTTCGCCCTTTTTCAGCATTCAGAAATAGGCTGTAACGCATTTCTTTAATTTTTTTTTTCTTTTTTTAAACTGAGTAGAAGCTCACGAGTGAGGTTTCCGATGGCAGAAGGGCCGTGCTCCATTTCCACCTGGACACAAGACAGTGGCACACACTACTCCTTCCTGTGCCCAGGGCTCCAAGGTGTCTGCTGAGCGAGCGAGGCTGCAGGCAATGAGTGGGGAAAAAGGTGAGGACAGGGGCTGGGGTGATTAAAAGCGCAATCCCCGGGGGCTG